CACTTCATCACTAGTTGATGAATAAACAGCACTGGTAATTGGGACACTGGAGAAATCCAACCCATCGAAATCTTCCTGAGTAAATGTGATTCAGTGCTCTGCACTCTACTTTAGGCGCAAAAGGAAAACTAGTTTTTTTGTCAAAGCACCACAGAAAGCCCTTAATGAACTAAAACCCACAGATAAGACCTCCAGGTCAACCTTTCTAAGTCTGATAAAACTTGGAGTTGCCAGTCCTGTCTAATGGCCCAACTAATCACCACATGTCTACATGACATCAAGTGGCATTTATTAGGTCCATCAACATGTCTGAGCTGTTTTCAAAATGTAAGCTAGCCCATTTAGTGTCAGACACTGTACGGCACTCCAGCATGACAACATTTCTCAAAACAACCTCCATCTGGTTTTAGTTATACAGCTGTAATGACTGGAATAATTCTTACAGAGCTCGCTTAGGATTGAGAAGCTGGCAAATAACTTTGCAGTCACATCCCTTTTCTGCTGTTCTTGCCATACACAGCAGATCAGCATATGACTGACTGCTCATGTGCTGGAATGTCATCACCACAACCCTGTGAACTGCCCTGAGACACAGCTACAAAATAAAGCACTAGCACAAGTGGTCAAGATTTGAAACAGGATCTAGCAATTGGCCTAATTAGGTGCATAATTTTGTCTATTCCTGTACCAGCTGAACAAAAAGGAGTTTTCATAGCACATCCAAAGGGTTTATGTGTACCTACCAAGTACAGGCTAGCAGAGACTGCTGCTCTTATTTGAATGAGGACGGAGTTTGAAATGTTTGTACCTATCGTTTCACAAAAAGACCTCCCTGGCACAGAAGAAATAGAGCATATTCTGAACGGATCAAAGAGAGGAAAACAAGCAGACAAACAAACAAAAAAACCCAAAACCAAACAAAAAGCCCCCACCCTTACTTTTATCATCTGAAACCTGGTTTTGACTCTTTTGAGTAGTTCAAAACACTTGCATCTACTTCCTGATTTTTATATCAAAGCAAAATGCAAAGAAGGTGATAACACATCATCTGCCTGCTTCATTTTGAACCATTTATTTTGATTTGGAAGTATGATCAAAGTATTCCTCTTTGCTTGATAAGTAAACAGTGACATTTCAATCCGGTTATTAACATTTGCATTCCTGAAGGACTCATCACTGTAAGCATCTAGGCTATGCTAACCTGGGATCACAAACACCATCTTCTATGGCATTCTCAGAGCTATATTTAAAACGCACTCTAAATATTCTAAAGCGTGTTATGTACTGGTTACTACCCGTGCCCTTTTCTAAAGCAATGCCATACATATATGCCATAAATATATGTATACTTCTGTGTGAAGCCATCTTAAAAATCCTGGGCTTCCACAGGGAGGGAAAGGAATCTGTGTCACATGAGAGAGCAGCTTCCTGCCCTGTTAACACTGCTGTTCTGTAACCACGTCTCAAAGTAGCTACAAAAAAACTTACAGTATAACAGCAGGGTTTTTTGATGGTATGAAACTGTTCTATAACTATTACTAGACTTTTCCAGGGTGGTTAGAGAAACTGTGTGGGAGACAGGTTATGAAAGGGTCCCCTATGGACATTTCCAATCTACAAATACACATTAGGACAAGCAGACATGATCCAACAAGAGGCAGGGGAACAATCACCTTGTCACACATCATCTGTAGCATTTCCTTCTTGTCTGCAGAAATAGTGACCAGGATAGGATGGGGATACTTACAAGTACCAATAAGCAAGTATTTTTTAAATGGTGAAGAGTGGTGTGCTTAGCAAATGAAATCACACAGTAGTCCAATCCTGTTAGGGTGCAAAACTTGCGCAATCCAACCCGTCAATATCCACTTACTTGAGGTTGCAGCCAACTCAGCAGTACAGTGTGGGAACTGCAAGCCGACCTGTTCCCGCTATGTGGATAATTGAAGAAGAAGAATTGCTAATAGTGCACCTGGGTATTGAGTAAGCCAGGGAGTGTTTGGGTGCAAGCTCAGACTGGGAAGCAGCCTGGGGAGTGATTGTTTATAGAATGGAATTTATAGTGCCTGAAAGCAGTCACTGGAAATGATGTAGCTGCTGTTTGGCTTCATGGCTCGGACCTGTATCTGTATGCTATATATTACCATGCTTGAGTGAATAAAGTAGAACTAGTTGTGAAAGCAGTGTGTGTGAATATGTGTGTGCGTGTGTGTGTCCTTAGCCTCTTTCTTTACATACGCCGCAGTACAGTACCATGGCTTTATCATTACATGTTTGCTGATGATCAATTTACAGAAGCAATTTCTGAGTCATAATATATTATTAACATCAACAAGGAAGACCATTCTCTCACAATGTGGGCCTCTTCATGCTAAGACCGAGTCCCAGAGTCACCCCTTTCCATTCGGCTGTGGCCAGTTCTATCTGCAGGAGCCCACATTCTTCAGGAAAATTCCCCAAAGACCTTAAAGATTAATTTAGCATTTGTAGCTCTACCAGCAGCCAACTTCTCCAGTTGAAAGGAACAGCTGCAGAGAGATCACTGCATCATAAGTTTTGAAAAATAAGGACTGGATGAATTTGGGTTTTGCGTTTGATAGATTCATCACACGAGGTGAGCTAACAGTGAAATTATTTTTCCTGTTACTACTACAATAGTGACTTCTGAGAAACAGGTGTTTTGGGAGCTGTGTGTGACCTACAGAAGACATGGCTCTGTAGCAAACTTAACTTGACATTTTAGTTTAAGATACAGAAACTGTTCAGTCTGGAGAGCTCCAGATCATTTATCATTATGTCACTCAAAATGACAGCACATCAAAAAGGCTGCTATTCATGCCTGTTGTCTCCTTTTAATAGCAGACTTTCGTATGAGAATAGTAAATTCATTTTATGAGTTCACTATAATACTCCCTTCCCGTTCTTCACTAATACCAGTGAAAATATAGTAAATAAAGGAACACAGGAACTGAAAACTGTCTTCTCTGTTTAGCTTCTCATTCTCCTCTTCCACACCCAAGAAAAGACATCAGGAATGACTTATTTCTCAATGAACGTTTCTCAAGAGCTTAGCAATTTACCAAAGTACAATGGCTAAACAACAGCTCTGCAAGTACTGAAATTTAATTCCCTTCCTTGATTCCATTTAGCCCTTACCTTATGTTCTTCTTATAGAAAGTTTTCAGACCTACACTACACATAAACACTCTCAAATCCCCATCCTGAAATGAAACATAGTGCCTGGCTAGTCAGCTAGCTAAGCAAAACAGAGCTCACACCACAAGATCTTTCAGGATGGACCATAAGTTAAGGCATCTCTTCTACCCAGGTGCCAACTTTCATCAAACTCACAGAAACTTCATTAAAACCTCTGCATTTCGATTCTTCTTTTTTTTTTTTTTTTTTGTCTCTAGGCAATATAGTCAAAGTTGTGAAGAAAGGCCCAGGGAGTAACAGAGATAAGGACAGATTATAAGACATAAGTCTCATTTCCTCTGGAAATCAGGATAAAAAAAAAATGGCCAAGAGTACACACATGAACTGAAACTCTTAGTATTAGAAATCTTTTAAGAAAAAATAAAAGATACCTATACAGTCACCATATAGTAATAACCTATTTCTCAGAGAATGGAAGCTGTGTTAAAATATTCAGGAAAAAATAGTATCAGTTAATTTGCTCCAAGGCAAAAAAAAAACCAAACAAATCCCAAACCCTCCACTGATTCCCAGAAGCAACATAGTGATTGCTGCAGCTGCAGTAAGCATTGTGTTAAAGAACTAAACATATGTTAAAGAATAGATGAACAATAGCCTCTGGAAGGGGCTGAACAAAATGATAGTTTTGTTTCAAGTCCACACCCTGGTAAAAACCCCAATCTCTAAGCCCCTCCTACCTCTGTGACCAGCATTCCCCTACATTTACGGATAATTTTCCGCTCCAGGTCCCAAACATCCCATGTGCAATCTCCTCTAGAAGTGTAACAAGTTCCAAGAAGCCTCGCCTCCACAGAGTAACATATAACATGGCTTGTTTACCTGAACACTCTACTTGGGCTCAAGTTACCTGCCTCAAACCTAAAATGTGATTTGCTAGGTGAATCGACCCAAAATTTGGGACCTATTGTCACTGCTAAGGTTACAGACAGTTTTAGTGCTGCTGTGAAGTGAGCAGGGTGACAAATAGTCATTCTTTGTGGTGTGTCAGAAACCCGTGTCATTCACTTTATGGCATCTGAGTCAAGCTCAGCTCTAGTGAAGAGGAAAATAAATGACTACCAAGGCAGAAATGAATTTAGCAGAAGCAGTCCATTAGACCTATAGTTGGTTAACCCACTGTTAGTAGTATGCATTCTCCTGGATAACATGAGCAGGATTTCACAGTGTCAGCAAGTTCAGGCAATTCTCCCGTTTCATTCAGTAATACAACACTAACGGAGCAGAAAGAGACTCAAGCCCTTCCACTGCAATTAGTGTTACTGATATTCCTCAGATTACTAACATGGAGGAAGAATAAGGAAAAAGAAGTGATGTTGAAGCACTAATGAGCTGTGGAAGTCAGGAAATATCCATGCCATGAGGCTTCACTACATTTCTGTAGGTGTATTTTCCAGTTTGAGCAATATTATCCTACTCAGAAAGAAACAATTTCTTACAAAAGTTTCTTGTACTTCAGCTAAACACATACACCTCAGACTTGCCCCTCCACCCACATCCATCCATTAATATTGTCATATAAACAACATCCATACTTTATAAGAGTAAATTTTACAAGTTAAAAAAAAAAAATAAATAACGGCTTTAGCATTCAGGGACACCAGGTGCTTCACAGATGTGAAAGAGCACTTTGATAATATCAAACCCAATCAATTCTGTACAAGAAAGCACAATAAACAGTTTAGAAAGCACAAGTCATGGATCACTAGCATGCAACCAGATTCTCTTGTGTAAACACCAAAAAAGGAGAAAATAAAGAATGTATAGAATAAAAAGTTTCCATTGACCTGATTTGTCAGAGATGTTGGCTGTGACTTGCGTGGTAGAGCAGCTTGTGTTAGCCTTTGCGCTGTCCTTGGGAGAACCAACTTTGGGTTTATTTTTCGTTGCCTCTAGTGCTTTGACCTTCTTGGCATGTTTACTTCCTTTGTAGTGGGCCTCGGCCTGGCTCTACAAAGGAGAACAAATCAGGCTCACTTTTTCCTGAACTTCGGTATAACACAACGGATGACAAGGCAGAAATGTGACACTTTCAATAGCAGGCACCATCATAATCCACCTCGAATATTTTAGTAGCTTTATACTGTTTGCCTAGATGTAAGTTCTTACAAATTCGAATGACAGGATTTTAATGAATAGTACATATTTTCAGTAACTCGGAAAAAGAGGTTTTGAGATTAGGTAAAGCTCTGTCACTCGTAAGGTAATTCTTTGCTTCCATCATGCTTAAAGATTTAAAGCACTATATAAATGCAAACATGTCCAATTGAGAAAGATGCTACTCAATTTTCATGTACCTTTCCCTAGTCTTTATTGCTTATAGTTAGAAAGATGTACCATGCTGTAACATGATTAAATAATCCATTTTTCCTTCTGTTTGATCTAGTACAAAAGTACAAAGTATTTTCATTGTTACAGTAACAGCAATTGAAACAGGCACTAATGACATTATGACTTCACTATTAAGAAGGTCAGTGAAGTCATAATGTCGTTAGGTATAAAAATAAGGAACTACATGCTTAACACAAATACATGCTTGGAAATTTCAGCTAACGAATTTGAATGTTTCCTGGCTTACTAAGAAATTAATTTAACAAAAATGGTTAAGAAACATAGCTTTATACAAAATAGTCTATTTTCATAGCATTATATTACTCAGTAATAGCTTTGTGTTATTAGTATTTCCAAATATAATTTGAGAAAATTATTTGAGACATACTATTAGGTGCCTCTATTGAAGGTTACATATTAACTAAAAAAGTTAATATTGTAGCTTATTTCAAAGTAAAACACTCAGAGAAAGCATGCTTCATGTAACCAGATGACCACACCTCGGCACCTGGCACATAAAACCATCAGTGCAGGTAAACTTAGAATTCTATGTTCATGCAAAACTACATTCTCTCTCTTCAACTGATTAGGACTACTTTATTTAGTTCACTGTGTTAAATGAAGCGAGCCATGAAACAAGTCCACATGCTTTTGATAAAAAGCAACTATAAGATCAAAGATGTTTGAATTCTGTGAAGAGTGCTGCCATAATGAGGATAATTATTTTAAGATCAGCAGAAATAGGCATTACAATACAGTCACCTTGGACAGCATGTAATAAGAGCTTTATCAAATGGTAGGGCGTAAAGTGAAGAATAGAAACAGCTGGACCAGAAAAAAGAACAGACAGTGTGTTGGAGTCCTTACAAAAATTATATTAACTATTAAAACTGATGGAGAACTGCTGCTAAAACAAAGGGCTGAAGTTCTTATACACTAAAGCTTATTAAGTGGTTGTACATCCTGAGAACCAGTACTTTCCACCTTGCAAGGACAGTGTATTTGATATATTGTAGCTGTATCCTTTTACAGGAGATTTCAGTAAGCAAGCCTTCAGTAAGAAAGGCTGCTAGGTAAGTTTGACCTTGAATTCTTTTTAAACTGAATTTAAAAAAAAGAAACCCACCATTATTATAAAACCAGCAAAAAGTCTACTCATCAACTGCTATTGAACTATTTTCTTGATTTTAAAACCTTTGAAATACTAACGTGTATAAACACAATTTAAGGATTATAAAGAAACAACTAAACATCTATACCACTAGTACTATGTGCACTACTTTAAAGGGACACTTGTCAACTTCTGGTCTGGACCTCTTCAGTTCTGAATGTGGGTAGAGGAGCACAGATCTGTTTGCACCCTGTTATGTCGATGGGCCTTATGCAGACACAAGAGTCTCACCCTGTATCTCTCCACCCTTGCTGGGTTTTGCCTGTTTCTTTTAAGCTTTACTGTTGCTATATGCTGCACCGAAGTTTTTGCATTAACAAAATTAAACAAACTATTCACATGGTACAGTGTACAAAAAGTGGAGCTAAAATTTGAGGTATGTATATACACTTTCCATTCCAATATTTTTAATTCTAAATAATAGCAGGTATAGGATTTTCCACTCAAGCATTCTTAAGTTGATGAGGTCCCTTTAAATATTTGAACGCTACGCTCTGCGCATATGTGTGCTGCTGATAGGATCATATGCTGCCTGAGGCCAAAGCTATGACGGTAGAGACATAAGTGCACTCAAGAGAAAGACTTAGTAAGTCAATTCCTTGATAATAAGCCTTTCTGCTGATATTTGCAATAATAATGCCTGCAATATCAGTAATAACCTACTACAGTCTTTGATTCCCTTCATTCAATCCTCTCATATAGTGTACATGAGACCTGTTGAGAACAAACAAGCCCAGGCAGAATTAAAATTAAGATTTCCACAAATGCAAGCAAATCCTCATGGAAACACAGTGAACGGACTCACTTTGGATTTAAGTTTTGTAATTATTATAATCTTTTTATTATCAAATTAATAGTTGTACATTATAAGACCAAAGGTATTGCTATCACCATCTAAGTAGGGCTTCTGAAAACATCAGCCTTTTCCAAGACTATTTGAACTTCCATATTCCTTTGGGGGAAACAAAAATCTCCAGCTTTGATTTTAAAGTAGATAGGGATAGAAAATCTACCTTCAGTAAATTGTTGAAGTGTTTCACTTTGTCAGTTAACTACATACCATTCATTTTTACACTGAATTTGTTTAATTTCAACACCCAGTGACAAGATTTTGTTAAACCTTTGGTTTTTAGGCTCTTTCAACTCATACTTGTTGTCCAAGTAGAAACAGTCTTTTCAAACATGAAGGAACATTCCTTGAGGTACTGAAGCAATGTTTCTTAGTCATAGAAACACTATTTTCTAACCCCTTCAGATACACCAGAAGTTCAGAGTTTGCTTATTACCCACTGTGGGGTAAAAGTTGCCTTTCAGTAACTGAAATGCAATATCAACACAGACCTGTGTTCTGTGTAATTGTGTTGCAAAAGCCATTAAGAATTTTCTGGAGTCATACTAAGTAAAAGAAAAAAAGCACTCCTGTGTGAATCTGAAATCGGAATGCAAGTTCTGATTATTATGGTATCAGTTATTCTGATTATTAAAATCCTGATCATTACTAACCCCAGTTTTACAAAAAATATTTGCACAAGTACCACATTAAAGACTCCAAGTCCCATTTAAAATTTGTTTCCAACTCAAACATAGTAATACAGGACAGGTTACAAGCTTTGAAACATACATCATTGGAATAATAGACAGATCTTTGAAATAAGCTATGACAAAAAGTTTTCCTTTTTAGTTAAGGGAGGAAGCTTAAAATTTTCATTTCATTTGCTTAGATAATGCAAAAGAAGTTCTGTACATACAAGGTTTAAAAGCCACATGTACAAAAGAAAGTTAATTTACCAGTTATAACAAAAAACCTCAACAAAATGTAAAATTAAATTAAGAGTAAATATCTTAGGGATGCAATATTTTAAATGGGTACTGAATGTAATTTTGGTCATCATTAACATTAACTAAATTATGTAAAACTAATTCATGCAAATTCTGTACCATCAAAACAATATCTGAGAAAATAAAAATGTTAGGAGAAGCCAAAGTAAAGACAAGTAACCTTAATGAATCTCGCTATATTCATGTACCGTGATGCTTTTAAATTGCATAATAATTTATTCCATTGTATAGGGCTGCAGTTACTGTATGGATGAACCAATTCTACAATAAAATTATTTACCTGTGCCAAAATTCAATATTATTGAATATTTAACTTTTCATTTCAAAACACTGAGTTAAATTTATTCCTTATATAACCAAAATTAAATGAACTTTTATTATTATAATTTTAAAATGAAATGCTTACTAAGTTAAGGAGGACACTTTCTGAAAAAGTGGAGTAAGAAAATATTTCAAATGAAAGAACTTCCTACCTAAAAAAAATATATACATATAATTTCCACTTGGTTCTAAGTGACTGTGGTGTACTAGCTTTATCTATACACATTGCAACATTTTAAAAAGGAATGCCCCTACTTATTAGAAAGTATAAAAAGTCATAAAGTACTGGCTAGGAAGATTTAAGGAAGAGGAAAAGCTTTAAGCTGAAATAAATGTGACATTACATACCAGAATGCAAAAATAATATTATGCTTAAATCTGAGCATCAGGATGTTAAACTGTGAGACTACATAGAATACATTAACCTTATATGCTAGATTGCATTGAATAAAACATGAACAATGCAAATCATCATCTACATGTAAACATGTTTTCTAAAATAAATGTACCATTAGCATATTACAGTGCTTAAAATAACTTTAAGTAGTTTTACATTGCCTAAACTTAAACATGTGTATATGTATAGATATGTATATCTATAAAAAACTAGGTAACCAGGAAACATACAGATCACACAGATTGATTGACAATAGTGTTACCTTTAAGAAAACTTTGTAATTCAGGGAAGACTGCAGTACAAAAGATTACAGAAAATTATCCCTGTCAGAAGCAATGACTGACAGTATATTTGAAATCATCACTGTTCATTTTGACAGTTCACAAGTGACTGAGTTTTAGAATCTATTTAGTGTGTGAATGACTAATTAACCGAATTCATTACTACATAAAGAGGTGAAATATTAACCTACCAGATCCCTTCAATGACAGCCTTATGCAGTGTTTGACTAAGTCTAGTGGTTCAGTGTGTATATGTCTGAGATCAAGATTTTTTTCAGGTTTCTTCAGGACTAGCTGATGTAGCCCTTCATGAAAATAAGACAATTGGACTGCCAACACTTAAGCTTAATGTTTGAATCTGCTACCATAATATGCAGTCTGACAATTAACATATAAAATTAAATATATGTAGAGCAGCATGACATTAGGAAGGTGAAATTGAAAAATAAAGTGAGCTGCTGAAGTATCCACATGGAAAGTCTGAGTTCATGCCTTAAGCTCTGCAATACTGGGTGAGTGCCGTAACTAAATGGAACTGAACATGGTGGCTTGTAGTTCCTATTTCTTCTTGCTTGCTACTTCCTCTTTTTAAAGCAGGAATTCCACCCTA